TGACACAAAAACTGGCTTCCATGTTTGGCATCCAGCTTCGGCGTGTCAGCTCTGCAGCACACTGAGACAAATAATTTAGAGCCACTGAGGAGGGCGTGGCGGAGGAGTCAGTGCAGGGACGGACAGCCACTCAATAACACAAGGCTTTACATGAAAATCTGATACCTGAATTTCATTTGAAAACAGTATAATTTTTTTTGGTAGTAAAACCCAATATCTTGAGAATAAAAAGACTGAAATATAAAGGAAATCTAAACGTAAAATATATTTCATCTTGTACATAGATAACAAGTTAACCATGGAATAGTTATATTACGTTGGTTCTGAAATTGAGACGTTGAATCCGTTTTCTTGAGGTGTGTATTGGCACTTATGAGCGCCATATTAGGAAAGATTTCTGAATGTTAAAAAACCACAATTCATGATTTATATCAGAATGGGTAGACATTTAATAAGGAAACACACACACACACACACACACACACACACACACACACACACACACACACACACACACACACACACACACACACACACACACACACACACACACACACACACGCATACACACGCATACACACACACGTCACCATCACCCATACCAAGACCATGGTTATGCACATCAACCTCTCTTTGACGTTGTCCCACCTCCTTCCATTACTTTAGGCCCCAACACACTCCAGGTCGTATACTCCACTAAGCTCTTCGGCGTCACCATAGAAAACAAACTAAATTGGAAAACACACGTCAGTGAAGTTGTCAAATCCTCCAGTTTCCGTCTCCACCTCCTCCGCCAACTCAAGTCCCTCGGAGTTCCTGCGCCCAAGCTCCTTAGTGTTTACTCAACATTCATACTTCCCAAGCTCACCTATGCCTCCCCTACCTGGTCTTCCTCCCTAAATACCACACAACGTAAGCCCCAAGAAAAAGTGCAAAAGAGGGCATGCAAGATTATTCTCTCCCCTTCCTACTCCACATATCAAGAAGCGCTCAACACACTCTGACCATCACCACGACCTCATCTGCAAATTTGGTGAGAAGCTTCTGCATCATCCTCGACACCGGCTCCTACTACCATCCGAGATCCCTCTTCCGAGAATTGCTGTTCGACATCACAACCGCATCCAGCCCAAACGAGCACGTACTTATCGCTATAAGAACAGTCCAGTCCCAAACATTGTAAAAATTATTAATAACTTGTAATCAACCAGTGTATTCACTCCCAGTCAATCTTACCTTTTTGCACTGTCACTATATTGAAATGCCATGTAGTATGGCCTTCTCCGCACCTAGTCATTATATATCATATTTGTATCAATTATGTTCCTTGTATATTATTTGTAAATCAAAAGACTCATTCCCCAATTATGCAACTGTATATTTTCAGCCTTCCGGTTGCCATGCTCTTTCAATAAACCGTTAATCATTATTATTCTTATTATTATTATTATTATTATTATTATTATTATTATTATTATTATTATTATTATTATTATTATTATTATTATTATTATTATTATTATTATTATTATTATTATTATACACACACGCGCGTAAACACATACACTACTACTAACACGTTCCTGTCACACGGATTCAAGTATGATGATCATCCAGCTATGAAATGAGTTATTAAAGATGTCACCTTCGTTGGTGAGCTCTGAGGTGACTAGACCGGCCGATACGGGACCGGCAGGGTCGTCCACACATGTTGCACGTGTGGAGGGCTACATCTAGTGCGGGAGGGGCGGCGGCAGCGTCTTTCAGGCGCTGGCGCTTCTCTGCTTCGGTATGCAGTCGGGCTAAGTCGCAAGAATTTACACCTTGTGCGGTGCTTCTCCAAGCGTTACGGTGTGGAGTGATCGTGCCCCAGGTGAGGGAGTCGATTTGGCATTTTTCCAGGTTTGTCTTAAGACTATCCTTATACCTTTTCAGTTGCCCGCCAGCGTTACGTTTACCATTCGTTAGGTGACTGTAAAGTAACTGCTTCGGAAGTCTACTATCATCCATGGGGGTAGCATGGCCAGTCCAACATAGTTGTTCATGGATAATCGTAACCTGGATGCTCCTACAGTTGGTGTCAACAAGAAAACTGGCATTTGTTTTCTTGTCTTTCCAGCGAACTCGGAAGAGGAACGTAAACTACGTTGGTGAAAGTTCTCAAGCACCTTGAGGTGCCTCCTGTATGTGACCCATGTCTTACTGCCATATAGCAGGATGGGGAGGACCACTGATCGATATACGTCCAACTTTGTAGATAATTTCAGCTCCCTACAGCTGAAGAAGCAGGTACGGAGTCTTACAAGGAATTGATATGCACATCTGATCCAATGTTAAATTTCTTCATCGATGTCTGCAGTGGTGGACAGGTGGGAGCTAAAATACTGAAAGTGGGTAACATTAGAGAGAGTAGTTGGATGGTGGAGGTGTGGCTAAAGCAGGGGCAAGCTGAAAGACAACCTGAATCTTACGTACACTCGCACCAAAAAGTATCGGTGCAGGGTGAGATCGACGACTTCCGAAACGATACGTATACACTGTGATATGTCGGGAAGGTTAGTAAGTGTGTCCTCATAACCCACCCCCCCCTCCACTAGGTGTTGCCATATGGCTGACAATCAGTGTGTTTGTTTCCTCTTTTCGGATTGTTGCTTTGTGTCGACTGAATGATGAGCGAGGTTTCGGTCTCGGGGAACGTGGGTATAAAACAGAGGCAATATGAAGCAGTAGAGATCTACATATGCCAGACGATATGGAAACCTAGGGAACACGAGGAGCTATCATTGCCCTTCATAACGAAGGGTTCGGCGTCACAGATATTAGCCGGTGGGTTGGTGTTCACAGGGACACCTCTGCATGATGGATTCTGCGATACCTCGAAACTGGTGCTACAAACGACAGGTCTCGGAGCGGCCGCCCACGCTGCACCACCCCCCAGGACAACCAGGTTGGGTGGTTTATTTGGTAGCATTAATTAATGTGGCAATATTCACAAGTATCACAAATAATTTTGTTAACAGGGAGCTCCTCATATTTCAAACTGTCTAT